AAACAACAACAACAACAACATTTTCACTAGTTTTTAAGTTTAGTGTGCTAAAACAAGCTACTTTGACATTTTTTGAAGGGATATTATGTAGTAGCCAGTGTGCTAGGACTTTTACATATATTACCTCTGAACCTCAGTTCCCTCAGTTGTAAAATGGTGATGATGACTATATTCCCTGATGTGCTTTGTGAGGAAAGAAGAGACCAAAATAACCCGTTTGATCCTTGGGTTTGTTGTTGCTCCCATTATTTTTAAGTTGCCTGTTATCCATTCATTTATGCTTTCAGCCCTTACGTCTGCACAGTGAGATAGGTCAGGATGCTTGCTCTACAGAGGGAAAGACTTGAGGCGTGGACAGCTTAAACAACTTGTCTAAGGCCTCATAGTTGCTTAGTGATGGAAATGGGATTTGAAAGCAGACAATATGACTCTGAAACTTATAATCATAGGTATTATCTCCATATTATGTTATGGGAAGCTCAAGGATTCCTGCTGGAACACATCCACTCTGAGGCCAGTAAAAGAGAAATTCATCTCCTCCCTTCAGAGGGTCTTCACTGGTGTCAAGAGATGATGTTGTTAATTTTGCTGCATGTAGTACAACTCGGAGAAATAAATAGAAGAATTTGTGTCAGTAAAACCTGTTGTCTGCGAGGAATTCTGTATTTGACTAAGCTTCCGTCTCTTCAGAAAGAGCATAAGCATAGAATTTAGATGTATAATTACTGTGAAAGATCCATCTTGGTTTCTAAAACGAACTAAGACCGAATTAGATATATTTTTTACATTTCACTAGGTCTGATTCTGCAGATCTGAAATGCAGTATAAAAAGATTATCATTATATTCTTTGAAATTTATTCTCTAGGTGTGTGTGTGTGTGTTTACACTGAGTTCTTCCTTATGGACTCACTCAATACCATCAGTGGCAAAAGCCCTAGTGTATTTAGAGGGATGATATGACATTCTGGCTACTTCAGAGAGTAGGAAAATGGAAGGTCATTTATTTAACCAATAAAAACTCTCAAGTCAGCACTCTGTCTACTAAAATGTTCTTTGTCAAATAGTTCCATCTCCATAGTTATAGTTTTTAATTGATTTCACGTCATGGTGACTGTCTTCGGTATCTAGTGCTGTTATAGCAGAAATACCACACGTGGATGGCTTTAGCAAACAGATATTTATTCTTATAGTTTAGGAGGCTCGAAGTGTGAAGTCAGGGTATTGACTCTGGGGGAAGGGTTTTTCTCTCCTTGGGCTCAGGAGGAAGGACCTTGTCTCTTCAGCTTCTGCTTCCTGGTTCCTTGGACATCTCCATATGTTTTGGCATCTATCTTTACTTCATCTCTCCTCTACTCACTTATGTAGTCTCATTTGTATCTCAGAAGAAATGAACTCAAATTACACACTACATAAATCCTGCTTCATTAACATAACAGAGACAACCCATTCCCAAATGGAATTATAACCAGAGTGATACAGGCATGGATTTACAACATGGGGGGACACAATCCAATCCATAACAGTGACCATAGGTGCAACAGAAGGAAATGCCCAGTCCTGTGCCATTTGTGTGGTCATTGGTATGTCTCAGTTCATTGGGTCAATGCATCTCCTTGGGGGTTTCCTTCATTTTTGCTAGCCCACTACCAAACATGAGATCCTTGCCTAACAATTAGTCTTTCCTGATGAAGTGTTCAAAGTAAGTGAGCCATAGAACACACAAACACACACAGACCACTGCTGTGGAATCTATTACACAACTCATTGTGACCCTAGGACAGAGTAGAACCACCTCTGAAGTGTTTCCAAGGCTGTCAATCTTTCTGGAAGCAGATCGTGACATCATTCTCCCATGGGGCAGCTGGTAGTTTTGTACTGCTAACCTTTCAGTTAGCAGCCGAGTGATTTAACCACTGTGTCACCAGGGCTCCTTAAGAGAGCCTTAAATTTTCATTATTAGCCACACTTGCAAAACCAATATATTCACTTTTCAAACACACAAGTTGTTGTTGTTATGTGCCATGGAGTCGGTTCTGACTCATAGTGACCCTGTACAGGGTTTCCAACGCTGTAAATCTTTATGGGAGCAGAACGCCTCATCTTTCTCCTGCAGAACAGCTGGTAGTTTCAAACTGCTGACCATGAGGTTAGCAACCCGATTCCTAACCACTACACTAGCAGAGCAGAGCAAACACACAAGAGGGGGATGTAAAATCCTTAGATATCAAATATTATTACCCTGGCATTAAAATGTGCATGTGAAGAATTATGCTCATATAGGCAGAAATCAAACCTTCTCTCTATGAAAAAGTCCCTAAATCCACTAAGACCAGTTCATTCAGCAAGAAGAAATTGAGTTCAACCAATATTATTGAACTCTCATATTCCAACATTTTCACAGAACTTTTATTACAAGTGCTTTTACACACACAATCCTGTGTGATCCTGACCTCAGCCTCTATTTGATGCTCACAATTATCAAAAAGTGTGGGCAGGGTGGGTATTATTAAGCCACTTTACAGATGAGGAAATTGAGGTTAATAGAGTTTAAAGAGCTTGTCCAAGGTCAGGCAGCTAATAAATAGCAGAGTCAGGCCATGAACCAAAGCTCTTGGATTCCAAGTTACTTATTTTTTCTGCTTCCCTTGTCAAGAATTCCTGTTGGTAGTAACATTTTGGGTTCTGAGCTTCTTAAGAGCAAGATCTATGGAACTTATGATATGAAGTCTTCAACTCAGCGTTGACTATGTATTTCCCTGCTTCACTGGGTTCCTCCCTTCCTACTTTGTTGAAGTCTATGAAAGTAGTGAAGGAGCCCTGGTAGCAAACTGGATTACAAGCGAGCTGATAACCGCAAGGTCAGCAGTTTGAGTCTAACAGTTACTCTGTGGGAGAAAGACATGGCTCTCTGCTCCCGTAAAGATTTACAACCTTGGAAACCCTACACAGGGTCACTGTGAACCAACTCAACAGCATACTGCCACCATCACCACCATGAAAGCAGTGAGTAGTATTTGAGGACAGGACTAGAATTATATGATTTTCAGTTTTTTTAAACAACTTTTGTTCTGGTTTCACTGAAAGTATCTGGCAGTTTCTCTCTGCATCTAGGGTGACAGGCCTAAGAGGGGATGGCCTTCATCTTTACTGTAGTTTCTCTTCTCAGCGCCCAGGTACTCTAGGAGCAGGAGAGGTTGAGATATGCAGCTGGTTGTCCTTTTATCCAATGTCCTTCCTGTTACTCCAACTTGGATAATTTCTTTCAGGGTTTGCAAGAGTTACAAAGTTTATCAAACATAAGCAAGGAGCTCTGGTAGCGTAGTGGTTACGAATTGGGCTGCGAACCGCAAGGTCAGCAGTTTGAAACTACCAGCTGCTCCGAGGGAGAAAGATGAGGCGTTCTGCTCCCATAAAGATTAACAGCCTCAGAAACCCTGTGCAGGGTCGCTATGATTTGGAACCGACTCCACGGCACATAACAACAACAACAACAACAACAACAAGCATTTACTCAGGGAATGGGATTGACTGATACTTCAGCTGAACATGCCTCAGACTATGGTTAATTTAAGAGACCAGGCAATTCACACACAGTAAACCAGGAAGTCTCACACAGAACTGGACATTGCCAGGGCAGTGCTGGATGTTTGCTCTTCCTGACCCTCAGAGGCCACTGAATGCCCTGCTAAAACTCAGCTGACCATGTGGTTGTTAAGTGAAGTCAAGTCTGTTCTGACTCATAGAGACCGTGTATAGGGTTTCTAGGTTTGAGATCTTTGCGTGAGCAGAAAGCCTCATCTTCCTCCCATGGAGAGGCCAGCAGGCTGTAACTGCAGACCCTGTGGTTCACAATCCAGTGCTTATTGTATGGAGTCACCACACTCCCCAGCTGACCAGTAAAAGGCAGTAACCACTTAATTTTCATCTGGTCAGAAATAAAATGCTGTTTCCTTACAGGGACTAGCCCTATAAAACAGGGATATGGTGGAATATGATTGAATAATCAAACTTTCTAAAGAGAAGCAAAGGACTCCTATTGGGAATCCTGATATGGTGCTGCAGGATGATATACTGTACCACAAGGTCAGTGTGAACCGCAAGGTCAGCAGTTCAAACTCACCAGCTGCTCCTCAGAAACCTTATGTAGGATCTCTTTGAGTCAAACTGACTATGACACTTAACAACAACAACATTGGGAGAAAAATAAGACTGTCTGTTATCACAAAGATTTAAAGCCTCAGAAACCCTGTACAGGGTCACTGTGAGTTGAAATAACAACAAGAATTGATGTGAAAAATACAAATAAACCCAAACGTTCTCTCTTTTTGTTTTAGATACATGAGTTCTGAACGTCCCCATATTCAAGGTCAGAATGCTGCTCCTCTGGCATGGTCTAGCTGTAGCAGTTGTCCAGATCTGTATCTTCTCAGAAAACTGGGTGTTTGCCAAGAACATCAACTTCTATAATGTGAGACCTCCTCTCGATCGTAAGTAGACGTTGCTGTCCCAGTTCATTGCTGTGGAGTCATCATGCCCATTGGTAATCCGAGTTTCCACCTGTGTTAACTTTGTATTTTCCTGGAACTTTTGGTTTATACCTAGGAAAACAAAACAAAACAAATCAGAAAGTATTACTTCTGTGACTAAGGGAAATTCATAGTGACAGCAATTTTTCTGTTGACATCGTAAAAGGGGTCTTGTTGTTTTAAAAGTTTGAACTATTGTCCCTCGTAGTAATGGCTTAGCAGACAAGTGTTCTTTACTGATCTCTTCATTACGTAAGGGCATTGCTAGAATAAGTTTTTGCATATATAATACATGAATTCTTTCAAATGGCCGTTAACAATTTTGAAAACAGATTACGTTTGAAACTTGGAGGAGAGATTACCTGAATTTTCATTAATATTATGCAAAATCACCACTAGCAAAGGCTAGAGAAAACATAAAAGTTTTCACTAATAGTTTAAAAATATGCAATTATCACTGTATAATATCTATGTTGTTGTTTAGTGCCGTAGAGATGGTTCCAACTCTAGTGACCCTGTACAGGGTTTCTGAGGAGCGGCTGGTAGATTTGAACTGCCGACCTTGCATTTCAAACTGACCTTGTGCCCATCCTACATATATGTATATGTATGTGATGATATGTATGTATTATCTTCTGTCCCTGTTCTCACTTCAGACAAGTACAACTTTTCCGATATAGTTTATTAGAAAAATTCTTTAAAATAACAATTATTTGGTATAAAGTGCATGCTTCTGGTTTCCACACCTGGAAGAGTACCACAGTCACCAGGAGAACTTGAAAACAATAAGCAATCAGTAGTCAGGAGGGTGGGATACAGGGAGAGTGGGAGCACAGACTGCACACAGTTACTCTGTTAGAAGGAGTGACACCCAAAATGGCTGCCTATAAAATTTTTGTGTGCTTCAGCAGAGAACTCATATTTTTAAAAATAAAAATACCCCTGTAATTAGTTTCAACCACAAAGACATTTTTTATAACCCAGTTTACATGTTCCAATATACCTACAAGTTTAGACCTCTATGTCAATTTATTTTTTGAAACCACTAATATGCTCTGGAGTCCTCATGTTGTGCTGTGGGTTAATGTGCTAGACCTCAAGGTCGGTTTGAATCACAAAGTTGGTGGTTCAAACTCACCAGCCGCTCCACAGAAACCCTATACAGGGGGTTGCAGTGAGTCAGAACAGACTCAATGGCACTTAACGGCTCTGCTCAGAGCTCTCATAATTACCCATTGATAGTTTGAATCACATGGTTTTGTCTGCACATACTATAAACACATGTTGTTTTCATTGCTGTTGGTGTTTCTATAATCCTTGATTTTTGTCAAATTTTTTGTGTTTTAGCCATATTATTGTAATTCATGAACATTTATCAATCACTTTTTGAGGAACAAAATAGTAATTTCTCAAAGGAGAAAAATCAAAACAGGCTTCT